TCTATATTTTCATCCTCTGGGGACCAAGCATACAGGTGTGTGCAGGGCACACCATTGATTAAGTGGCAGGACTGGAAGCCAGGCTGCCTCAAAGACAAAGGCCCTTCACCACCAAGCCTCCTCCGAACCCCCTGGGCCGCCTTCCCCCTCCTCTCCCCCTCCCCTCCAGCCTCCCCATTCAAGCTGGGCTCTGGCGACTTCTAGATGAGCCCTGTTCTTCCTCCAAAGACATCACGTCCAAACCTTTGCACGTGCAGGGTCTGCTCCTACAGTGCCCCTCCCGCCCCATCCCTACAGCCACCTCTGTAGCCAAGACTCTGCAACCAGCCTGCCTGGGTTCAAATCCCAGCTCCCCCAGTGAGTAGCACTGAGATCCCAGATAAGATAATCAACATTCCCATGCCTCAATTTCCCCAACCGTAAACCAGGACTTGTAACAACAGTGCCTCTCTCCCAACCTATGCATGACAAATGCCACCAAAACACTATGTTCCGGTGCCCAGCTCCTGGGTGAGGACCTCATCACCCAGAACACTGACCCACTTTTCTCAAAGTTTACAAATCTTAAAAAGTTTAAGCATGCAGAATCACTTGAATGGACATTTCTTCAAAGAAAGTGTACAAAGGGCCGGTAAGCACATGAAAAGATACTCAATATCATGAATCATCTGGGAAATGTAAATCAAAACTGCAATGAGATAACATGTCACATCCATTAAGATGACCAATACCAAAACAAACAAGCAAGCAAAAAAACCCCAAAAACCGAAAACCAAAACCAAAACCAAAAACAAAAAAACAGAAAATACCAAGTGTTGGTGAGGATGTAAAGAAATTGAAACTCTTGAACACTGTTGGTGGGAATATAAAATGGTGCAAAAAATGAAATGAAATGAAATGAAATGAAATGAAATGAAATAAAACTGGCGTTGACTACTATGAAAACAGTATAGGGGTTAGGAAAACTTTTTATTTATTTTTTTATTTTTTTAATGTTTTTTATTTATTTCTGAGAGAGAGAGACAGTGTGAGCAGGGGAGGGTCAAAGAGAGAGGGAGACACAGAATCTGAAACAGGCTCCAGGCTCTGAGTGGTCAGCACAGAGCCCGACGCGGGGCTCGAACCCACGAACCGTGAGATCATGACCTTGAACCTGAGCCAAAGTCAGACGCTCAAATGAGAGTCCCCCAGATGCCCCAGGAAAACTTTTTAGAGAGAGTTACCGCACGATGCATCAATGCTATCCCTCGGTGGATACACAAAAGACGTGAACCCACGGACTCGAACAGATATCATGCGCCAATGTTCGTAGCAGTATTATTCACAGTGGCCACAAGGTAGGAGCCACCCAAGTGTCCATAGAATACTGGAACATAGAACATAGAATGGAATGTTATTCCGCCTTTATAAGGAAATCCTGCCACCCGCCACAACATGGGTGAACCTTGAAGACATTACAGTAAATGAAATAAGGCAGACACAAAAGGGCAAATATCGTATGATTTCACTTACATGAGAGCAGTCAAATCAAGAGAGACAGAGAGCAGCAAGGTGCCTTCCAGAGCCTGGGGGAGGAGGAAATGGGGAGCTATAGTGTTGTGGGTATGGAATTCCCATTTGGGAAGATGACAAAGTTCTGGAAATAGATGGCGGTTCCCCGTTGCACCACGGTGTGAACAGACTTAATGCCACTGAACTGTACACTTACCAATGGTTAAAATGTGAGCTTTTATGTTATACACACGTTGCCAAGAAAAGAAAAAGAGAGAGTACAGAGTCTGGGGCCAGCCCCCCTGGATTGAAATTCCAGCTCTGGGTGACCGGGCCCAAGTCACTAAACCTGTCTCCCATTCAGTCTCCCTTTGTGCAGTGGGAGAAAAAAACAAAAAAAAAACAAAAAACAAACCCAGCACAGAACTGCAAGCACCAAATGAGCCCGTGCTTATACAGGGCCTGACAACAGTAAGGGCTGCAGAGGTCACGATGTTTATTCTCTGCCTAGGGGGCAAGAGGTGTGGCTTTGATGTTTATAATTTTCATGACCTTCTGCACCCCCGCCCCACCCCTTCCTTCCACCTGCTTCTTTTTCCCTTCAGCCCAAGCCAGGTCCTGACTCGGGTGGAGACAGGGAGGCCCTCACCTGCCCCAGAAAAGGATCAGGAAGGCTCCAGGCAGTGGAGAAGGGGCGGGCCAATGGGGCAGCCCAGCTCGATTTCAGCCCAGCTGTCCGGGTCAGAGACACCCAGCGGGGCACCCCCCCGGGCCCTGGCAGGCCCCCTTCTATTTCTGGAGCCTCCGCAGGCTCTCATGCCCTGGCCTGCCTGCAGTCAGTCTTGCCCAGAATCAGCTTTGCCCAGGGCACCCTTGCACACATCTCGGCAAGGGAGAGGTGAGTGGGCGAAGGAGGGGTTGTGGCCACAGACTCCCGGAGCACTGATCTCCTATTTGGCCCAACTCCATCAACTCAATTAACTGCACCTGTTTGTACCTCAAGTTGCAAAACGGGGACAAAGGGGCTTGCAGTGGTGACAGGAAGAGACCATAGGCAAAGCCTTAGGGAAGAGGCTGGCTCTCCGGGCTGGGGAAGCTGGAGGTTGGGGCGGATTCACAGGCAAGCCCACTTCCTGTCCTGGATTCCCTTCTGCCCAGGCCTGAGCTCACCATCATGGTTTCTTAGCTTGGCCAGAAGATATGAAGAAACTTGCCCAAAGTCACACAGCAAGTCAATGACCGATCACAGAGAGGGCAGTGGTCTTATGATTAAATATATAATCTCTAGGGGCACCTGGGTGGCTCAGTCGGTTAAGCACCCAACCTCGGCTCAGGTCATGATCTCATGATTCGTGGGTTCTAGCCCCACGACAGCCCAGAGCCTGGAGCCTGCTTTGCATTCTGTGTCTCCCTCTCTCTCTGCCCCTCCCCCATGTGCACTCTGTCTCTCTCAAAAATAAATAAACATTGGGGCACCTGGCTGGCTCAGTTGGTTAAGCATCTGAAAGGCTCAGGTCATGATCCCATAGTTTGTGAGTTTGAGCCCCGCATTGGGTTCTGTGCAGACAGCTCAGAGCCTGGAGCCTGTTTTCAATTCTCTGTATCCTTCTCTCTGCCCCTCTCCCACTCACGCTTTCTCTCTGCCTCTCAAAAATAAATAAATGTTTTAAAAATTTTTTTAAGTTTTTTAGTATTTTATTTATTTCTAGGAGAGAGAGAGAGAGAGAGACAGCGTGAGCAGGGGAGGGTCAGAGAGAGAGGGAGTCACAGACTCTGAAACAGGCTCCAGGCTCTGAGCTGGCAGTCAGCACAGAGCCCGACGCGGGGCTCGAACCCATGAACCGCGAGATCATGACCTAAGCGAAAGTCGGACGCTTAACCGACTAAGCCACCCAGGCGCCCCTAAAATTTTTTAAATAAACATTAAAAATTTTTTAAAATATATATACAATCTATAATGACATATATATATAATTTTTGAACCAGGTGATACAGGCACATGACTCAATATTCAAAAACTCTAAGGAGAAGAAGTGAAAAAGAAACCCCTTCCCACTCCTATCCCCAGCTACCCAATCCCCCTCCCTGCAGCCACCACTTCAACCAGACAGCTGTGTGTCCCTTCCAGGGAGATTTCAGGCAATTACAAGCAATAATCATGGACTTATATCCTTTCTATTTTTTTTTTTACACATATGGCAAAATGCTGTGCATACTGTTTTCACCTTGCTCTTTTTTTACTCAATAATACATGTTGCTCTAAGAACATTATTAATATATTCATGATAATATGTATTATTAATATACTTAATAACATACGTTGTTCAATAATATCTGTGGTGCCACATCAGTACCTAAAAGAGCCTCTCAGCCCCGCTGATGAGCACTTAGCGTGTGTCCAGACGCGCCCTCTTACCAACAACCCTGCAGTGTCACCGCACCTGCGTTGTGTTGCCTTAGAAGTGAGACAGCTGAGCTAGGGATGTGCTTGTCATCGTGACAGAGACCTTGTGAGTTGATCTCCATCAGCAGGACACACAGCAAATGGTCAATAACTGTTAGCTTTAGTTATCCTGATTAGGGGTTTGGGCACCCCTCAGTTTTGCCTCACCCGGCCCCTCCTTGCATCACATGCCAGCCCAGGAAGATAATCAGCTCCCTAATCACTGAAAGACCTAGGACATCAGATGGGTAAATGCCACCGAGAATGACAAAATAGGAAAGGTGGAGGGCAGGGCATATGAACTCAATAAATATTTGTTAAGAGACTAAATGAAAGACTTATTTTCTTTCTGAGTTCCCGGGGCATCCCCAGGAGGGAGGGCCTGGTCTAGGTCAGATGCTCCACTGGGACCCGTCGCTGCCCTGTCCCCAACTCCCAAAGTCTCTGGTGACTGATGGCTTCAGGTTGAGCGGCTGCCTCTACCCATTCCCCCCACCTGGGGCAGATTCCCAAGAATCTAAAAGCGGCTCCGGGGTCAGAGCACCTGCTGCCCACCTCGTATCTAGCCCAGAAATATGAGTCCCGCCCGATCCTCCCAGAACAGCGCTGCGATTCAGAACCCCGCGGGCAGAAGGACCCCAAACGCGCCCTGAATCCAACCTCTGGCGTTCCAGAGAAGGGAAGACAGATGCCCAGAAGGGGCACCCAGGGGACGGTGCGGGAGAGTGGGGCAGCAGGGAGGTCATCCGGCCAGGGCCGCAGGGCTTAGCAGCCTTACAGCTAAGAGGCTGAGAAGCTGACCACTAGCTGCGTGTCTGGGCCTCTCAAGGCCAATCCAGATCTACCCAGACTGGTGACTTCGAGGCGGAGCAGAAAGACCTGAATTGGATTCTCCAATCAGACCTCGTTGGGCTAGGACACACTTGCCTCTCCGGACCTCAGTTCTCATCTGTGAAATGGGGTACCAACTTCTCCCCACACACACGACGCGGGGAGGACGCATACACCAGGCGCTTACGGAGCCCCTCAGACACCGGCGCGCGCCCCAGACCACCCATCCCCTCACCTGGAGCCTGCGCTAGCTGAGTCCCGTCTCCTCCAATACGGGCTCGGAGAGGCTGACAGCTCGGACCCCGGCTGGAATGGCCGCGCCCAACGCTGCTCGGAAGGCCCCAGCCCCGCACGGGGCCCCGCAGGGGCGTCTTCGGAGCTGCTGTGCGCACCCGAGACGGACCGGGGCACCTGACTGTCCCAAGGCCCCCGCCAGAGCGGAGGTCCGGAGGACGCAGAGGAAGGGGAAGCGAGCTTGCCGCTCTTCCCCCCGTCGCCGGAATGGTTTGCCCCGGACATCCTGATTGGTTCCTCGCTTCCGTTCGAACGCCGCGCGGTCCGGTTGCCAGGCGACCGCTTCGCCACAGCCGCTGGAGTGAGCGTCCGGCCCCCGCAGCCCGGCTCCGCCCCTGCAGCCCGGCTCCGCGCCCTCAGCCCAGCTCCGCCCCCGCGTAGCCCCTCCCGCCAGCTCTTCCCGTCGCCGCGGCAGGCTCGGGAGACTAGCTCTTGCCCTTGCTCCGCCAGGACTTTCTCCTGGTCCCCAACAGCCTATGGCACCATTGAGGGGCCCCACCCAGTCCCTAGTTCAGACTTTGCAGCTTGCCAGGTGAGCCCAGGCTAGCCCCTTTTCCTGTCTCCCTAACGGCACAGTGGTAGATTTGTAAAATGTGCATAGTCAGCAGTCCTGAACTTTACTAAGGAAATGATCAAAGACATGAGCAAAAACTAATGTCGCCCAGCGTCATTTACGACAGCAAAATAATGGAAGTAACTCCCATGCTCAGCAAAAGAAAGTTGGCTCTATAAATCCATCCTCCGGAAGAGCTAAGTCTATAGAGCTTTCCTGCCAGATAGTTTTACATAACTCTTGTCAGTGCTCATGGCATAACACTTTGAGATAGGTACCTTTAATTACCCCACTTTGTGATGAAGAATGGTCCGCAGCTATTAGAAATGATGTAGTTAAAGATACTTCAGGTATGAGAAAAATGCTAAGAACGCTTTTTAAAAGTATGTTTCAAAGCACTATGTACAACATAACTATGTATTAGATATGTAATTGTAATACCACAATTGTGATCACAAAATTGTGTTTATGTGTAATCATTTATAATAGCAGCAGTTAACTTCTTTTTTTTGTGCTTTTGTGGATTTTCCAATTCCAGCACTTACATATGTCAAGGGAAAAAACACATTTTTTTTAAAGGATTAGAATAAATTAACACTAAGCACCCTTCCAGATGAGGAAATTTCATAGCTGCAAGTCACTATTTGGGACTAATGCATTGTTCAGTTTGGAGCGAACCTCTGTTTTCTGGTCCAGATGGTGATTTTCACTCTTCGATTGGATTTTCAATGATTGAGCCCTTACCGTACACATACCCTGCGCAGGTGGGGGAGGGAAACTAGTAATATATCAATCGCTAACAATGATTGCACATTCCGGCACGAGCACCAATCAAATCAGAGTAGATAGAGTCATAAGCAGGGAGTCTGACTATATCTGGGAGAACTAGCTAAATATCAAAGCCGGCATCAGCTGTGCCCTTTGCTAGACTGCGCTCAAGGCCTTATACACATTTTCTCACTTGACTCCATTGCTATGCGAGGAGAGAGATTCTATTATTCTTCTCATCTTATAGATGAGAAAGCCATTGTTTGGGTCCAGCAGGAGTCCTCTGAACCGTTCTGTTATGTTCCATGTAAATGTACACCTGTTGGCAGCAGCAGTGAGGTAAGGCGAGGAGGAGCCTGAGATCATAAAAGACACAAAGCAGGGGCAGATCTAGATTACATACTTCTGGAGGCTTATATAATTTAGGGAGATCTATTTAAGGACTACAAAAGGGGTGCCTGGGTGGCTCAGTCAGTTAAGCGTCCAACTTTGGCTCAGGTCATTATCTCACGGTTTGTGAGTTCCAGCTCCATGTCAGGCTCTGTGCTGACAGCTGACAGGAGCCTGCTTCGGATTCTGTCTCCTTCTCTCTGCTCCTCTCCCAGGCGCGCACTCTCTCTCTCTCTCTCAAAAATAAATCAACATTAAAATTTTTTTAAAAAGGAAAAGAACTACAAAATTACAAATATAAAATTAGGAAGTAAAGTGATTATTTGGTTAGAAAGATAAAAGAAACCTCAACAAGCGACAAATTCCACCAATGACAAAATCCAGGAAAATGACATTATTTCTATCAATTACATATTTGGCATACCTCCCTAATACTTTCCACGAACAAGCTTCTTTTGTCTCCATGTATACATTTCATACCTCTCCTCTACTACATATTGGTGGTATTGGGCACTGTAAAACCAGAGAGAGAGAAAGAGAGATGCACCTTTATGTCACAGTGCCAGTTGGGGAGATGTCACGGCACACCTCAGTGCTACCTACCTCAGGTAGGGGTATTCCTGGAAGCCGTTACCAGTTAGTAACAACTTTTCACAAAAGTGACTGGAAACAACATGAAGAAAACCACTAAGCCCATACTAATGTCAGGGTTCCCTTAGCCAAATCCCCAAAATGCCCACACTCACTCTGACATCACCCGACACAAAGGGAAGTAGGGATGGAAGGAGATGGTGATTTTAACAGAGCGAGGTTTAAATATCTTACTTAGGCAAGTTTTACAGAAGCATATGACTCTGAAGACATTGCTAAGGTGTCTGCCAGACCTTAGCTTCCCTGTCATTAAAATGGGAATAACAACAATAGCGTCCTGGGTGAATTCTTCTCTGAAATGTACAACTCTAACCAGGGGGTGGGAGATAGTTGAGATGCTCGGATAAAGGTCCTGCTGACCCTGGCATGTTCAAAACTTGCCTCTGCCCTACATACCCTGAAGCTTAAAACAAATTGTGCCTGGGTGGCTGGGTCAGTCAAGTGGCTGACTCTTGATTTCGGGTCAGGTCATGACCTCACAGTTTGTGGGCTCCAGCCCCACATTGGGCTCTGTACTGTCAGTGTGGAGCCTGCTCGGGATTCTCCTCTCTCTCTCTCTCTCTCTCTCTCTCTTTCTCACTCTGTCCCTCCCCTGCTGCTCTCTAGCTCTCTCTCTCTCTGTTGAAATAAATAAATACACTTTAAAAAAATAAATTGTCTTAAAAAAAAACAAATAGGATAACACAAAAACTCTGAGCCTTATTCTCCGATTAAGAAAGTAAGGCAAGGGGGTGCCTGGGTGGCTCAGTCAGTTGAGTGTCTGACTTCGGCTCAGGCCGTGATCTCATGGTTTGCGGATTCAAGGCCAGCATAGGGCTCTGTGCTGACAGCTTGGAGCCTGGAGGCTGCTTAGGATCCTGTGTCTCCCTCTCTCTGACCCTCCCCCACTTGCTCGCTCTCTTGCTCTCTCTGTCTCTCTCAAAAATAAAAATAAACATTAACAATTTTTTAAGAAGTAGAAAACTTAAGAAATCATTTTTTAAAAAGAAAGAAAGGAAGGAAGGCAGAGGACAGAAGGAAGTTTCCCTAGATTCCAAATTGGGCCACATGAAGAGAGATTATTTGGGCACATTCGGATTCTAGAACTCTGAGCATCTTCACCTGCCATCAGCATATTGGCCATGCTCCCCGTCTTCAATGATTTCTTAAGCCCCTGGTACCAGCTCACGGTGATTGAAATCACCCCAGTCCGTTCCCTCTCCCAGGATGTGGGAGTTGCGGGGAGAGAGCCTGCAGGAATCAGGAGGTGGACAGGCTGTCATTAGCGTGCCCAGATGAAAGGGACCTAGATGACCCTTATGGTCTCGTCCTGACCCAGCGAGCGGGCAACAATAACACCTCGCCCCACCACAGGCCTGTAGCTTTTTCAGCACCCTCCTCCAGCACCCTGACCTTGGCGGTGTTTTCTCCCCTCGGCCCGAAACTGAGATGGACTGAGCCCCGGACACCAGCTCCCTATCTTCCGCGCACCCTCCGCTGCATTTTGTTTCGGCAGGTGGAACCTGGCCCTGGAACGGTGTGAGAGGCGGGCCCTGGGCGGGGACGGGGCTGGAGACCAGCGACAGGTCCTGCCTGAGCTTTCTGGTCCCAGGGGAGGCAGCTTCTGAAGCCTTCAGGGGAGACCTCGTGAGAGGTTCAGAGGGCACTGCCAAGCCAAGCCCTTCCTGAGTTCTCATCCAACAGAAACCGTAAGAGAGATGGGGGGTGGGGGTGGGGGGATGATGATTGTTGTCTTAAGCCACTAAGTGTTGTGAAGGCTTGTTATTCAGCAGTAGATAATGCCTAGGGGCTTTTACAAGTTCAACGTCCAGGGGGCGCCCCAGACCAACCGCATCAGAACCTCTGGGGGAGGGGCTCAGGCGTCAATTTTCCAAGTGCAGCCAAGGCCGAAACCCCCTGGGGGAGGTCTCACTCAACTTCTAGCCTGGGCGGCTCCCGCTGACCTCAGGCTGGTCAGGAGGCTCTCCTCTGGGCTCCCACAGCCCCCTGTGCCAAACGGGCCTGGGGCACGTCTGGCGACTTCGCTGTCTGCAGACGTCTTATCTGGTGAGTGGAGGTGATTGTACTACCCAGCTGGCCTCCTGGACGATCTCACGGTGTGCCATCTGAGAACGAGCTTGGGGGACAGAAAAACAGAGCTCTCCGGGTGGGGCTGCTATCACCCAGCTGCTGCTTGGGCTGAGCATTCCGTGGCCTCTCGTTTTCTGAGCCTCAACTTTCTATCTGGACTATTAGGAGACAGCGCTGCCAGTTTGGAGAGGACTGTGCAAAGTACCCTTGTCCCCGCAGACCTCCCCCTCTCCTCTTGGTGTGTTTCAGGATGTAGTCACTCATTCAACAAAGATTTTCGGAGCCCCTGGCCTGTGCGGGTGACTAGGAAGACAGACAGGAACACAGGACGTACACTCTAGTGAGGGAGACAGAACAATAGATGAGTAAGCCAGCCGACAAGGGAGGCATGTTATAAATAAAAACAAAGCTGAGTCAAGCAATGGGCATATTGGAAAAGGGGCTGCCTTATACAGCACGGTCAGGAAGGCCTCTCTGAGGTGAAGCCTGAAGCGTAAAATAGAGGCAGCCATGGGCAAATCTAGAGGAAGACTGAGAGGGAGAAACATGTGCAAAGGTCCTGGGGCAAGAATGAGTTTGGTGTATTTGAGCCAAAAGGCCAATGACTGGCATGGAGGGACGAGAAAAGACTGACAGGGAGTTGCTGAAGGCCACAGAGAAGAGTTTAGAATCTAAAGATAAGTTTAAGATCGAGATCCGGAATTCTGGAGTCAGCCAGTCAGAGTTCCATTCCCAGCTCTACCACCC